ATCTGCTTTTCTTCACAAAGTCCACTTCATCTAGTGTGGCTACACCAGTACTACATCAATTTCATGGCAGGTATGACAGCAGCAGTGTGGAGAGTGATTGCCACAGCACGAGTAGAAATAGTAGACTAAGCTGTACAAGAGAAATACCGACACAATCTTAAACATTGTGATGTACAGAGTGAAGAAAATACTTGTGAACTGTGTATTTAACCTGACACATTATAGCCTCGCTATATTACCCTGCAATGTCAAGCTATAATATAGCACTAAATCAATAACAAAGAAAATGTAAGGTCTTTTTTCCTTCCCCAGGTTGTTTTGGTTCTCTTAAGCTCCCTGTCCTTGAAACTTATGCCACTGATACAGCTGAAAAAACCAGAAAGATCAGCTGTAAACAACTAGATAGATCAGAAGGCTGACAGTGAGTTATGGAATCAGTTCTCTCTTTGGCTATGTATTTACATCTAACCCAAGCTCACATTCACTTAAGGCTTTGATCCAAAGCCACTGGAGCCTCACTTGAGGCTCTCGATGCCAACCCAGAATACTGAGCCGCTGCTCAAGGTCCTTATTTGCTTCCCAGGCAGGTACACACCCAAGCCATCATTTGCTAGCAGCCTTGGTGGGCAGACCTAGAAAGTTAACCATTCTGCAATCACCACCTGAGCACAGCCCAGACTATTTAATTTATCTTGTTCCCCTTTTTTTTTCCAGCTAGAGTACTAGTAGGATGGCTCTCTGCACAAATTGTGTGTCAATGTCTTTTCTGGTGGGAGAACTGCCTTCCCTTTTGCAGCTTATTCCCCCTCCAGCTCCTCTCCTCCCAGGCCACCAGCAGCAGCTGGAGTGGACACTCTGACACCCTTCCCACAGATCCAAGCACATTCCCAGTGAACAGTAACTCCCAACTCCTTTGAGGAAGACCAGGTATCTATCTCCTGTGCTTCCCTGCCATGCCATCCCTCCCAAGTCTTTTGTCACTGCCACACATCCTAGACCTGTCACCACCTTTTCCTTCTGTCCCTGGTGAGCTGTTCCTTGAGGCATCCCTCAGCAGCATCTGCCTTGGCACCACCAACGAGGCTGAGCACACAGGGCCTTCACTTCTCAGCCACCTGCAAAACAGGAGGCTCATACTGATAAAACGTCTTTAAATCTTGGCATACAGGGGATTTGAAAAACTTCATTCTCACCATTTTCTATCACTGCATACCTTCACTGTGCTGCTGATTACACTGAAATCTTCATCACCTGTTTGTTTCCGGGTTGGAGAATCTAAATGGGGATTTGGCAGACAGAAAGAGAAGGAGAGAGGGAGACAGCATTGAGGATTGTACCTTCTGCTTCAGCAGCTGAGAAACATTTCTAAAAAACCACTGGAAACAAGGAGTAACTGAAGCGAGGGAATAAATGATTCAGTGAACTTCTGTTAGTGGAGGCAAGGTGTAAGACAGAAAGCACCCAGTTTAAATATAAAATCTTGACCGAATTACAGAACTGGCAGTTCTCTTTTCCCCCCTTTTTTTTCTACCTTTCATCTTAACATTTTATAAGGAAGACACCAAAAATAGTATCTTCTGAGTCCAAAAAATTGCCTTCTTTAGAAAGAAGTATATGGGATAACTTCTTAGAGAAGAAAACACCTACAGGTAAGTACCTCTAAATGACAGCAGCTAGAGAAAAGAGCATGAAGTAAGCTTTTCTGAAGGACTAAGCAAAACCACTGCCTACCATCTCAACTCCTGTGCAGATGACAAGTTGTGCTAGACCTGTCACCTAACAGTTACCCATGTGTAAGAGGAATGCTTCTGAACCAATTCATTCAACACTCCTTTATTTTACAGAAGTCAAGAGAAAAGGTAAGAGAAGTTCAAAGACACAAAGCAAACATCATTTAATTCAACAGTCCATACAGAAGCTTTTTTCCCCCTTCTGATGTTAACCCACACAAAACAATGGAGCAATTCTGTGAATATTGTAAGTTTCACTTAATGGTTCCAGTGGACCACTCTTTTTTTTCCTCTGATCATTCATACTGTCAGATCCAGTGTGAATAATGTCAAATACTTGAGCTCTTCTCACTGTTTGGCTCCAAGCATTAGTCTATTGAAATGAGGACTGTCACTTATGATTTCCAATTCATCAGGGACACTGAACTACTGTTACACAATTTCAGCAATGTCTGCTTCAGATTTTTCTGACAGCTGGGTGATAAATTTTTTTAATTGAGATCATTTCAGGAATATGTAGTTTATATGTAGGATATGTTCAGCCTAATGAAAAGTCCACAGGGCATTTTGAGTCCTGCCTCTTACTTTCACAGTCACAAAAGGCAGAAAAGAGACTAAGTTTCAGTAGATAGATAAATCTGTAGATGTAAATTTCAGCCCACCCTTCACATCTATTCTGTACAGGCAGTTTGGAGATCTCCCAGATTCTTTAATCTTAATACAGCAAGATGTGAAATAAGGCTTTACAGATGAAAGTTTCATGCAAGAGATGTAGAACCACTAGGCTGATATAAAGATTCATGCTGCTATTGAAATGCCTTGGACTGATCAAATTAGCACAACAAGAAGATAAATAAAACAAGCAAATCTACAAACAGTAAAGATACCATAACGTTTGGTCCTCTCTTCCCTCCTTCCTGCACACATCACATGGTTTTCTCAAGTATCATAAGCGGGTGGAGTAAATTCTAACAAAAGTATTAGCAACATTCATTTCCATTCTGTTACCTATCAGTTTCTGCTGAACTTTTTACCAGAATCAGGGTGAATCCTTTTTTCTTTATGCAGGAAGACACAGAGCAACCAGCAACCTCCTGCTGGGCAAGGCAGGGGCGAATGGTTCAGGCAGGCAGAGCACGGTTCAGCCACAGCTCCAGTGCCACTTGGCAAAAGATGCCCAAGGATTCTTTGGAAGCACTGGAGGATTCACTCCACCCAGTTCTTAACATCTTCCTCTGACACCCTACTGGTAGAAATGAAATGGGAAGAATGCGGAAACTGGAAGGATAATTGGGACACAGTGGATATAATCTCCCTCTACAGCCAGGGAAGATAAATGATTCCTTCCCTGTTCCAAATGCGACGCCAATTGGTGAACAAATGACTCTGCCTTTGACCCAGTGTCTTGGTCGTATGGTTATTATAAGCACAGAGGATGAAATCTTGTTCACAAAATTAGTGTCACTTCCCTTCCAGAAAAAACTAGGCAGAGACAGCACTTCATCCCTTTTTTGACACGCACCCCTTTAAATAGCAAAGGTAAAACCAGTTCAAATACATACAAATGGGAACTAGAACATTTATTTTCCATTTTGTTATTAAAGTTTAAGTTTCTTTTGCTCATTAGTATCACAATCTCAATCCTGCAACCTGATCGAGGATGCCACGTCCAGCACTCCAATGCTAATATTGTATGCAATGAGGTCGGTGGTGATACACAGGTTCACTCCCCTCTCCGATTACCCCCAGAAGCATTACTGGAGGAGTGGATTAATTACACAGATCCTCAATCTACAAGAGTTTGGTTGGACACATGATGGAGAAGGCAGCTGTGCCTGCAACTACCTACTCCCACCTCACTCTTTACAGAAATTGCCGAGATGCCGTTCAAGAAGGTACAAAACCTGTTCTAAAAAAAATCCAGCTGACAAGGGCCTGTGCTATTCAGCTTTCCTTTATGAGGAGCATGCCAGCCTGTGCCCACACAGCCAAGACTGATGGCTCTTGGCTCCAAGTCCACCTTTACAACCAAAGAGCAGCGACTGCTATGTGTGAGTGCCAAAGGGATGTCCCATTTCCCAAAACTGCTCTTGTTTCAGAGAAACACTCAATTTTCACATATTCATGAAATTCTATTTATATATACGGTGTGCTAATGAGTTACTCAATCAGCAGAGTGAGCAAGGAACCGGTAACACATCCCCCGGCACACTTTCCAATGCCCATACTTTATTCCCAACGCCTGCCGTAGTTTGTAATGAGCATCTACCGATCACTGAGCACTAGACATCATTCAGCCACACCACCAGCTCTTCAGCACAGCTCTCTGCAAACACATGTATCATTTCTAAATGCTAAAATGTGCTAAATATTCATCATCATTAATGTTGCATCAGAATAAATTAAACAGAGAACAAGCTAATGGAAAGAATGACAAACTGTATGGATTGTAACTGAGCTGATTTGCCACAAATTCTTCTCCTGGGGGAGAGAGGCCAGCGAAGGTTTCCTTTCTAGGATTAGCGAAGGTAGCTGTCACTTTATTGCTATTCAACTTCCCTTTAATCCTGTAAAACCGAAACTCCTCCTCAACAACTCTGCCCGGTACACAGGGAAGGAACATCTGAAGCAGGGAGGCTGCAACTCCGTGACTGACACGGCAGGCTGGCAGCTGCCGGGAGGGATGCACGGAACGGCGCGGTACCCGCGGGGCTGACCCTTCCACTTAGCGCTAAGAACAAAGCTACGGATGACTACGGCTCTGTTTCAAAACACAACGCGGTAAGTTTCTGGCACTATCACTCAGCTGCGGAGAAAAGGTACTCGAGATAAAGCACAGGAGGAACTCACGGGGAATTCACGTGAGCACCTTCCCCAGTTGAAAGCTCTTTCCGAAACGCTCCGTTTTCGCTTTTATCCCTCCTACAGCCCGGGGAAGAGGCGCCACCTGCTCCCAAACGGCCGGGAAAGAGGGGCACTCGCCGGGAGAGCGGCGGACTCCTCCGGAGCGTCGCCCCATCGCTTCCCTTCTCCAGCAAACTTGCCCCGGGCCGGGCAGCGGGACCGCGCCGGTGGCTGAGCCCCCGCCCGCCCCCGGGCGCACCCCGTCCCGCACAGCTCCGGGCAGAAATGCTGAATCACGGAGCCGAGGGCGCGGGACCGGGGCTCCCCCTGACCCCCACGGGGGCCGGCCGCCCGGACACGGAGCCGGGAGCGGGTCCGTGCGGAGAGGGAGCCGCCCGCCCGCCCCGCCGCGGTGCCGACACTCACTTGAAGGTGAGGACGCAGAGGGGCCGGTAGGACTTGTGGCTGGTGTTCTCGGCCATGCGCTTGCCCCAAAAGTCGTTGGCGAAGGCGGCGGACACGGGGGCGGCCGCCCGCACGTCGGGGTTGTTCACGATGGCCCAGACATCGTCGTGCACGAACTCGCCCCGCAGGGAGTTGCCGTAGCAGAGGGCGCACAGCCCCGCCAGCACCGCCGCCGCCGCCGCCCCGCCGCGCCGCCCGCCCGCCGACGGGCAGGGGCCCGGCGCGGCTCGGTCCCGGCTGCGGGAGCCCCGCCGAGCCGAGCCCGTCACCATGGCGCGGGGCGCCGCGCTGGCTGCCCCGGCTCCGCCGCCGCCGCGGCGCGGGGAGGCAGCGGCGCCCGCATGGTGCGGGGCGGGCAGCGGGACCGCCGCCGGCCACTCGCGCTCTGCCGAGCCGCAGCCCGCCCGGCTGCAAATAAACAGCGGCCGCCTCCCCGCGCCATCCCTTCTCCTCCTCTTCCTCCTCCTCCTCCTCCCCCCCCGCGCCCCCTCCCGCACGCATGCTCCTTGCCGCGCTGTCACACCGCCGCCACCTCCTGAGCCCGTCGGCGCGGAGAGCTCTGCCCGCGGTGGGGACGGGGACGCGCCCCGGCACGGCAGCACCCACGCGAGCCGTGCCGCCCGCGGGCGGCGAGCGCGTCCCGCTGCGACGGTCGGGTCGCCGCTGTCCCTGCTCTCCCAGGAGACGGGTGCAGGGCTGTCCTGCAGCCTGGTGCCAGCGCCTCCTCCGAGCCCCGCGGGCAGCCCCCCTGTGCACCGTGCTCACCTGGCCAGGGGCAGCATCCCAGCCGGCTCCACGGCACCCACGCCGCTCCACAGCATCCACAACGTGCATGCTGATCCGGTATCGATGCTGCTGCACCGCATCCACGCTGCTCTACGGCATCACTGCTGGCCCACGTCCTCCGCGCTGCAGCGTCGGCTGTGCCAAACAGTCCCCCACTGTGTCCTGCTGGAGGAAAAGGCATTTTGGTGCCACAGAACTTGTTTTCTCTACTCTGGTCCATTTCCTGTCTTTATTCTGAAATCATTTGAGAGCTGCAGTGTGTCCATAACCTCTCACAGATGACCGTTCTCGTTTTAGTGATAAGCCTCAATAACTTAAGGAAAAACCACGGTCAGATCATCTATTCACCCATATATGAAAACTACATAGTCATAGATTTAAAAAAAAAAACAGAAAAACAAGGACACTATTAATGGGGTTTTACCCTTTAAAGAAACCTTCTGCTTATAACCAAACAAAGCAGTAAAACTGCTTGGCAAAGAGGCTTTGATTCAATTATGAACATACTGGACACACTTTGAATTTGTTCTTGAGAAAAGATACACTGAGCAGGGCTCACCAGCAGCCTGTGCAGTTCCAAGCTGCTCTCTGTGTGTGCGTGTGAGCATGCCTGCTCCTGCATGGGAAAAAGAGGGGAGCGGAAACCCTGGAAAGTTCATGTAGGCTCTCCAGGGCAAGCCCGCTCCAGGAATGCTTTCTCTCCCAGCGTATTTGGCACTTCGAGTGATCTGGTATTTTCCAAGTGCAACAGAGCAGGCTTTTCAGATGCGCTTTTGTTATAGCTAAAAATAACACTTAACTCTGAGTAGGACAGTGTGTTTATATCCGGGACAGAAGGAAACTCCACCACAATCAGAGCCATTAATTCAAACTTTCTCTTGAAGCAGCTGATGGCATTTATGCAGTTGGCTGCATGAGTTTTCATCTGCAATGGGAGACCACTCGTGATAGTGTGTAGGTCTTAATTTTCACCAAAGTTTCAAAGCCTAGGCATGCAAAGCTAAACTCCAAAGTCAATGCAGGGGCAAGAAGAGAAACAGCCCGGTATACAGAGGCATTCAAGTACCAGAGCCACGAGGACCCAGCAGCCCTGGAGCCCTCACTATTGCACACGTGCCTAAGAGGTGGAATCAGGCCTTTTTGTTGACATAAATTAAAATAGTGTTTGGGGAGGGGGGTGGTAGAGAGGAATGGATTGTAATGTTTATGAAAGCAAAAACAGTGGGTAAGATTTAAAGGTTGAAATTGCCTTACAGTAGACTGCAGGTAATATTTGAAATTCTAAATTATTCAGCTGAACAAAATCTGCAATCCCTTAGCAGGCTGCCCCTCCCAACAAGACCCCTGTACCTCTGGTCCTTCACCTCCATGGATCAGTCTGCACAGCCTTTCTCATCAGTCTTGCAGCCTTCCGTCCTCCATCATCACAGGTTGGGGGCAGCCTGCTGACAGCCTGCTCCTGCCACAAAACAGCAAAGCAGGGCCCAGGGCTGCCATCGGGCAGCTTGGCACAGAGGCAGGGACAGGTCTCTCCATTCATTATCTGGGACTGTGGGACATGTCCCTGCTGTGTCACAAGTCCTGCTGCCCACTCCTTCAGCTTAACTAGTTCTTTACAAAAAACTTAACAAAAATGCAGAGTTCTAAACCAGTAAATGATGAAGAGGTGATAGAAAATAATTTTCCCATCAAGGAATTTCCTGACAATATCTTCAGACAGTATCATTGTCTTGAGGTGACTGTATGATGCCTATATCCCCAAATCGTCCGTTCTGTTGGTGTTGAATATTAAATTCTGCAACTTTAAGACTGGTTCCAGGAATGAAGGGGGGGAAAGAAGAAGTGCAGAGTTTGTTATCAGAGACTGCACGACTCCCCCGCATTCCAGCACACAAACTGTGCTGTCTGCGGTGGACAGCGAGAGAGAGCTCTCCTTTGCTCTTGGTTAGTTTTCTGGCTAGCTGAGGCAGAAAAGCTCCCTGGATTGTTTTTTTTCCTGGAACTGTTTGAACCTGCTCTGGACTGAAAACCCAGAAGAGCACCGGGAGCTCACACCTGTGGCTCACCGGGCCTGGCCTGGGCTACAGCATTCCCCAGCACAGGAGGGACTGAGAACAGACTGAGTGAGCCGGGCAGCCACGGAAAGAACTCTTCTAAATCTGCCATCTCTTCAGAACAGCAAAAGGTTTTGCTGTTTGATATTGTTCATTTTTGTGCTGGGAGGTGTGTTGCCTGTTGAATAAACAGTTGGTTTTTTTCCACTTCTCTCCGAGGAAATTTTTTTTCCCCGAGCCGACTGGGAGAGGGACTGCTTGGATCTTTTCTTTTTTTCCTAGAGGGACCTCATTCAGAGGTTTCCTCCCAAATTTGCCCTAAACTAGGACAATCATACACAGCCATCTAACATCACATAGTACAACAGACACACTCTCTGGAATAAATAACGTTGCTTCTCATACAGATCTACAATATCCTGCTCTCTTCCATAACTCACCATTCTTGATTAACACCAGAAAGAGAGAGAGAGCAGTCCTGACCCACTTAGGACTCCTTCCTCTCACACTCTTTAGGAGGGCACCTACACAGGCCATTGGCTTTCATCTAGCACAGACCTAGACTTTGTAACAGAGAAAAACTAAATTTATTTTTAAACTGTTTCTTACTACTTATTGAAATGTTATGCATAACATGTAGTTAACACTAATTTGCCAAGTCCTTCTATGACAAGAAAACCTATTCTCACTTCTCCAAGACAGACCAGTTCATTCCTTTTTTCCCTCAAGCAAACATCTGAAAGAGACAAAGCAATGCTCCAGCCAGCCATTGAGGAAGACCTCGCATTCTTCACACCAAAATCCACTGAAATACAAACACATCATATTCTACTTTCTCCACAAAGGGAAACGCTACCTTGTCATGCAGCAGTCACCATCACAGATTGAATTCGAGATGTCTGTTTACGAGAAGTCCTGTCCACCTATAAAGAAACTAACAGCAAAAAGAATTCAGAGAGCAGAAGAACAAATATGGAACACTGCTGTATTCTGATGTCAGATCTGTACATATATATGCAGGCATAGACACAGAGGGAAAGGAAAGAAAGAGAGAAAGAAGAGAATACAGGGATGGAATAATTTGCTCTGAAGTTTCTTTGCCACTTCCAAAAATACATTATCTAATAAGAACCAAGGCTTGCAGAAGAAGGAAATACTTCTTTCTCTAAGTAAAGCAGCCTTGTCTTGCTTCTGAAATGTGAAGCCAAATTGCTTCTCAGAAAAGCCGAGCTGAGTTCTGGAATTGTGTGTCGTTGAAGTACTCCAGCTATTTGCCTGCTTCCTTGTGCTTGAATCACAATTTTTCTGCCAGCTATATAAAAAAGATTAACAAATGGCTGTTAAAACTAGAGACCTTGAAACTAATTATGTGCAATGCTCAAAAAAATCCTTGCTCTGCTAATTGAGGAGAGCTCGTTACTTCTAAAGCAGGAAAGTTTTGCTTCCACTTGGAGTAAAACATACGGCAGCCAATGCAAGGAAGGAGACACATTTGAGCAGATACACTTCAAAGGCTTGAGCACTGATTGATCTGCTATTATCTGACAATTGCAACTGCTCAAAGGCAGAGAGAAACTGCAAATGTTTTGTGTTTCAAGCTTAAACATGGAGTTCTGAAGAGTTTAGCTTTGCATTGACTGATTAAAGTATAAGAATGCAATAAATACAATTTAAAAGTTAAATTACCATATGGTCATAGCTAGAGGTAAATTTCAAAAGTAGCACATGTAAATAGTTTCTTGCTGTGTGAGCAAATAATTTTAAATTTAAACAAAGTCATTTGGTAACTGGTCCAATTGATTTCAGCTTGTAGTCGGTTACTGGAATTCATTTCAATTGCCCCAGGATGAAACTCTGTATCTGCCATGCATGGAATCTTCAGTGGATACAGATTATGTTCGTATGGTTAAAAACAAACCAAGTTTGGCATCTTAAATCCAGTGTGCTGCCTGTGCTGGAAAAGCTTTGGAGAGACAGAGAGCAAATCCATGTGGGCTTGAACCCCTCCAAGGAATTCAGTGCAGGCATAATTCTGTTTAGTCAAGCAGGATTTGTATTTTGGAGTTACTGGGTGCACTGCAACGGCAAAAGGCTGTACTGACATTTGCTGGGAAAATCCTAATTATGATCCTTTTTCCATATTACCAAATTGCTTCTAAGCCTATTCAGGTGACAGAAAGTTTCTCTTTGGTGAATTCTTCCTGAAGCCCACTGAAAGTTCCTGTGTTTTTGCTTTCACTTTCAGCT